AACATCGACGTAGGACAGCTGGGCCCCCCGTTCGTGACCGTCTTCTTTATGGTGATGGCGGCTGCGGTCAAGGCAGCGCAGGGAGCGGCTCAGGAGCCCATGGCGAACTTCTTCCAGACACACGTCAAGGGCCAGCCAGCGGAGTACATCACACAGTATGTCACGCACTTCTCAGTCAAAGCACCGAGGGGGGAGCACACCAGCGCCAAAATGAAGGGCATGGTGAAGTTCCAAGTGCACATCCAGACCGCACGGCCCGCTGGCGTCGTGCTTCGCGAGATTCTCGACCGTATCCTCTCGGAGGCAGGGGCCAAGAGGCTCGTGGGATCGGCCCCGCGTGGACCACTCGAGCGCAAGATTGGCCAGCTGTTGAGCAAGAGGTGAGACCTTCGTTTGAAGCTGATCGAATTCGCAGTCAGAGTCTGGATGGTGATATCACGCGTACTCAGATGACCGAACAGACGAATGGGGGGGCGTGTAGTGGTCCTCATTCTGAAGTTGTGGGTGGTCATCCAGATATCCCTCGAGAAAGTACTGCTGGTGCAAATGATATCGATACGAGTGTTCAGTCACCCCAGGGAGAGGGTGAGAGGTCATCGTCGGCCCCAAGAAGTGAACCCGCCCGTTCTGTGCATCCCACTCCTTCCTCCAGCCCCCTGGAGGTCCGCAGCAGGACCTTGCCCCCGCCCCAGCTCTCCCTGCCGAGAGCGCTGCAGCACAGCGAGCGCCTCCGCATGCTGGTGATGCGCGGGGTCATCAAGGGCTGCCGCATCACGGGGAGGGACTCTTTTGTTGTTCGGGCGGGGGCGGGGGCGGAGGGGGAGGAGGAGGAGAGAGTAGCTGCTGCTGCGACCGATCGAGCCGAGGGGAGGACTGTGAGCTCGTCCGAAGTGAGGAGTGTCCGACCGAGGCTGTCGGTGCGTGGAGCTGTGAATTCGAGGCGTCGTAGCTAGAGGTTGGCTGGCGCCCGCAGGCAACCCAGCGCGGCGTTCCGCGCAATGGGTGCGCCTATGGGGCCAGCGGGGGTTGCTCCCTCCAGCGAGGGCTCCCCATCGAGGGTTTGGATTTGTTGGGCTACGCCCCACGCAGGGATCTAGTTTTGTTTTCTCTCCGTAGGCCTGTATAGGCCCGTGCAAAGCTTTCCGTCGGACGTGGTTTGATCCCCAGCGTCTCTTGGTCTTGGTCTTGGTCCTCCTCCTCCTCCTCCTCCTCCTCCTCCTCCTCCTCCTCCTCCTCCTCCTCCTCCTCCTCCTCCTCCTCCTCCTCCCTCCTCTTCCGCCACCTTGTCGCCGCCTCCGCCGATTCCTCCCCCCGTGCTCCTGCTCGGCGGCTTCTCTTCGTCGCTCCACCAGTCGTATCGGCAAGGCGGCCTGGGCATCCCGCCTACGTGCTGTAATCGGTTTGCCTGGCTGGTGATCGTGAGATTGAACTTCCTCTAACATCACAGATGGCGGGCGGTTGGCCCTCATAATTGTGTACCCATCGGTCGCAGGTTTGATGGCGCCAACATCCCAGAGCGGAGTTCGTTCGGAAGCAATAGGATGGGCCCGGGGTATCCTGGATAATTTCGTTCCGGATGTCGAGGTGAAGTTCGGGCGTTTTTTTTTCAGGCCAGGAATGGAGATTAGAACAAATTCCACGCGAAATTTACATCGTTTGTCGGTCGCCTCTTCGGGGTTTTGCAGTGACAGGAATCCACGCAAAAATCCGTTACAACACGTCTGCCAGGTCATAAAAATGACAGGATGGAGAGTGAGACCAAACGGGGAGCCGATTCCGAGTTCGGCTCGGCTTGTGTCGCGCGTGTCTGCGAGGCGAGTTTGCGTGTGCAGGCGAGACGGGACCACCGACCGCATCGATGGACGATATCGATGAAAAGGTTAGTCGTCTGCTGGAGAGGGTGGCGCACGGGTTGTCCCGCGGCTGTTCCGTGATTGTCCCATGGTTGCCCAGCGGTTGTCCCACGAATAGTAGATGTATATGTCTATATGAACATACATGCATACCTACATACATGAGTGTATCCTTCCATACATGCATGCATACATACACACATACCTACCTACCTACCTACCTACATACATACATGCACACGTACAAACAAACAGAAAACATATACATGATAGGTATGCGTGTCCACGTGCTGATGCATATATGGCTATATTGGTGCTCATATAGGTATCTGTGGCCGTCATTCAGCAGGTGTATATGATATGGGCATGCGCGCGTCATACTAGTATACCGTTGCCATCATATAGTGGGCGATACAAAGGTGTAGGCATATGCTTAGATCGAGATAGACAGATGGCGAGCTGCAGGTGTGGGCATCAGACATACAAGTGTCCATCGGTTCACCCCGCTACCGCACCTGCGTTGTAGGCCAGAGGCCTCTTGCATGCCTGTTTGGATATCTTGGGAGGCCTATGGGAAGCCTCCTGGAGGCAAGTTTGGGGTGTCTTGGGGCATCGCGGTTGCTACTTGGGGTTTCTGGAAGGCCTCATGGGGGCCTTTTGGGAGCTTGTTGGCGGTCTCGGGGGTCATCTTGGGGAGGGCTCGAAGTATCAGTTCGTATTCCGACTCTTGGGGCGCTCTTCCGCCGCTTTTGTAGCTTCTTGAGCCGTCTTTCCCCAGCGCTTCTGATGCTGTCTGCCCGCCACTGCGCGAAGCAGAGACAGCAGGCGAGCGAGAGCGTGAGGAGCTGTGGCGGCTCGCGCACGCAGTGCCGTTGAGATGTCGGCGTGCGCGGCATCCGCAAAAGCTGCGTCGCAGAGCGGCTGAAGTGATATCAATCTAAGATCGCATCATTGTGACCCGGAAGTCAGATGTTGGCAAGTGTGACTTGCCGTGAGATTCGCGCACATTTCTCTGTCCTGGTTGCGCTGCGATCGCCATCGGAGCCTCCAGCCACGTGGCCTTCACTTGTCGCCACGGTCTACTCAGAGGGCACATCGTTGTTTATGGTGTTTGGAATAGCCTCGGCCAGGGTGGAAATTGCAGTGGCCTCGCCGTCGGGCGAATTGCGCCAGGTACGACAAAACTAGCTTTACTGAACTGTGACAGATTCCTGGCAATAGGCACCGTGTATAGTGATGATCAAGGCGGCTGCAACGTTGACACCGCTCTTCCCGCCGTCGAGCCAGCTCGACGAGCGCCAGGAGCGGGCCGCTGAGAGCAGCACCTTGGGCGCAAAGTAGTGATGGTTCGTCCTGTCGCTGAGGACGCCAGCTCTTCTGTTCTGGCGTTTTATGGTGATGGTGATGGTGATGAAAAAGAAGATAATGCTGATGCAGATGAGAATAATGATGATGATGCTGATGACGATGATGATAATGCTGATGTTGATGTTGATGATGATGATGATGATGATGATGCTGCTGATGATGATGCTGTTGATGTTGCTGATGATGATGCTGATGTGGATGCTGAGTATGATGATGTTGCTTATGGGAATGATGATGATCATGATGATGATAGTGGTGATGATCATGATGCTGATGATGATGATGCTGATGATGGTGATGATGACGACGATGATGATGCTGACGAGGAACAAGAGGGAGAAGAGGACGAGGAGGAGGAGGAGGAGGAGAAGGAGGAGGAGGAGAAGGAGGAGGAGTTGGAGGAGGAGGGGGGGGGGGGGGGAGGAGGAGGAGGAGGAGGAGGAGGAGGAGGAGGAGGAGGAGGAGGAGGCGGAGAATGAGAACAAGGGGGAAACATAGAAGGAGGAAGGGGTGAAGAAGGCTGAGGCGGGTCAGGGTCAGGACAAGCTCTGGAAGTCCCGCGTGCTCACGCCCGCTCGCTGCACGCGTGCCCCCTGGCCATCGCGCCGCCAACACGCGGAGATGAGGACCTCCATAGGCTCGAAGGATTGCACGAAGGATTGCAAAAAAACCCCTTGGTTTTGCAATCCTTGGTTTTTTTGCAATCCTTCGTTTTTTTTGCAATCCTTCGTTCTCGGGGCGTTTCTTCGGTCTAGGTGGGGGAGCCCACTCGTGGCCAAGGGTAGAAGTGACCAGAGAAGCTCTGTCGCTCCTCCTTCGGAATTCCTGATGGCAGAGCGACGACGACGACGACGACGACGACGCCAGCGGACGACGACGACGACGATGACGATGCCGACGACGACAACGACGACGACGGCGACGACGACGCCGACGACGACGACGACGACGACGACGAGGCCGCGGTGCCCGCCGCCTCCCCTGTTCGCGCTGGCTCGAGGCCCTTGGCCGGAGCACCCCCCCTGTACAGACGATGGGCCCGCTGGGGACGTGCACCGCCGAGCGCACATAGACGGGGCCCGCCGGAGGCGCGCCGTGTCGCTCCGCGGGGACAGGGCCATTCGGCGGGTCAAAGATGGGGTCCTGAGGCATGGGGGCCTAAGGGCGAGGTGCCTCAAATCACTCAACTCCACCCTTGGATCCCTTCTATCTCTTTTCCTCAGGCCCCCATCCCGCAGGACCCCATCTTTGAACCAGCTGGCCATGCGGATGGGCCCCCACAAGCTGGCGGCGCCCGCTCGGGCGCGGCTCGCGCCCCCTGCCCGGCCCGCGCCGGGGGAGGCGGCGAGGCCGATGCCGCTGGCGCGGCGCTACGAGCGCGTGCGGGAGCTGGGCCGCGGCTCGTTCGGCACGGTGTGGCTGGTGAGGCGCAGGTGTGATCGGAGGCTCTTCGCGATGAAGACCTTGGAGCTGCCCCCGCTGTGCAGCCGGGACGAGAAGGACCTGGCGGAGCGGCGGCAGGCGCTCCGCGAGGTGGAGATCCTGCAGTCCCTCGAGTCCCCCTACCTCGTGCGGTACCACGAGACGCTGCTGGTGCCCGCGACGGAGCAGCAGGAGCGCAGCGAGCTACACATCTTCACCGAGTACTGCGACGCGGGCGACCTGGCCTCGCACCTCCGGAAGGCTGGCCGGCCCGGGGGCGGCCTGCCCGAGGCGGAGGTGTGGCGCTTCGCGGCGGCCGTGCTGCAGGGCCTCTGCGAGCTCCACCGGCAGAATGTGATGCACCGGGACCTGAAGCCCGCCAACATCTTCCTCAGCCGCGCGCCACCGCGCCGCGGTGCTGTTGCGGGCGTCGGCGGCGGGCTCCGCGGTCGCCTGCCCACGGCGGCTGGCAAGGGCGGTGGCGGTCAGCGGGGAGCTTCGGGGCTGCAGGCGAAGCTCGGCGACCTTGGGCTGGCCAGGTCCGTCTCGGGCAGTGCGGGCATGGCCAGCACGGTGGTCGGCACGCCCCACTACATCGCACCCGAGATATACGAGGGGCAGCCGTACGACGAGAAGGCTGACGTGTATTCCTTCGGCGCATGCGTCTACGAGCTCATGCATGGCAAGCCACCTTGGGCACAGTGTGAGCACGTGGCTGCAATCGTCCGCCACGTGCTGAGGCTGGACGGGGACGCGGCGGAACACGAGGTCTTCATGGACCCGAGCTTCTCCGCGGACCTGCGCGCCCTGGTCACGGCGTGCATGGCACGCTCACCCAGCGAGCGCCCCAGCGCCCGAGAGCTGCTGGCCCGGGTGCCACCAGAGCTGGGCGGGGGCGCGGAAGTGGTCTCCGCCGCGGAAGGCGCCGTCGCTGTCGCCGCAGCGCCTGGGCCTGTCGTTGCTAAAGCACTACCGCCTGGGCCGCCGCCACTCTCGGCCGGCCTCGCCTTCCGCCCGCCGCCCCGGGGCGCCGCGGGCCCAGCGGCGCCGCGGCAGGAGGCCTCGGAGGTCACTATGAGTCCGGCGGAGCTGGGCGCGGCGGCGGCGGAGGCCCTGGCGCCGAAAGGACCCGCCCCGCCTGCGGCACAGACCGAGGCTGCCGGGACGCAGGAGGTCACCCTGCGCCCCGCGACGCTGGGCGGCTGCGGCGAGAAGGACGCCTGCGCGGAGCCGCCAGCGGCAGACCGGGCGGACCAGACGAAGCAGCTCCCCGAGAGCGCGCAGAGCGGCGACCTGCCAGCTGCGGAGGAGGCCCGGAACACGCGCCTCCTCCGAGCCACGCGGGCCACCGCCTCGCCAGAGCCCTGCAACGACCGGGCAGGCACGCCCTGCGATTCGGCACTGCTGGAGACGCGCCCGCGCCTCGAAGACATGAGGGGCAACCTGACCGAGCAGAAGGGCGGCCTGAAGGCCTACGTGACGCGGGCCCAGTGCTGCATCTCGCGGTTGCGCCGCGACAGGCGGGGGCCTCCAGCGTGCCCCAGCGAGGGCGGGGAGGCCTGCCGCAGCGGCTGCGGCGACGGGGCGGGGCTGGACACTCGGAGCCACTGCACTCTCAGGAGCCCCGCGTCGGCCAAAGGGCGCCGCGTGGGCTCTGCCCGCGGAGCGGCCCCGGCCGCCTGCCCCGGCGCACGGGTGGCCTCGGAGGCCAGGCTGCTGGAGGTCTTGGGCGTTGCGTAGTGGGGCGGCCACGAATGGGGGGCTTCTTCGCTGCCCTGGCACGCCCGTGCTGGAACGCAGCACGTGCCGTGGCAAAAGCGTCTGTGTTCACACGCTGCGTGCTGGTTCGGCACGTGCTGGCCCGCGTGTTGGCGAACGTATCGCGCCAGACCTACGTGTTCAGTCTGCGTGCCGAGCTCCGTACCAATACGCTACGTGTTGCGTGTTGCGTATCAGGGCAGCTAAGATGGGGGGCAGCGAGGGCTGCAGAAAAGGGGCCCTTTAGGGCCCCTGAAAGGGGCCCTTCAGGGTCCAAAAGGGAGCCTGAGGTGCCCGCAAAGTGCATCGTTCCCTCCCCATGTGTCGCCCCCAATTAATTCACGCCCGAAGGTCGTGGGCGTTGCGATGTCGTTGTCGCCCAAGGTCGCGCGCCCCCTCAGGCTGTGAGGAGGCGTGCCACGGCCCACCGCCTGAATTGAACCCTGTGCGAGCATGCGGCAGAATCGCTGGAGAAAATGTCGCAATGTCCGCTGCCCCAACGCCTGGCACATCATTGACAGTTGCCTTGGCTTAGTGCCGAGTCCAAGCGCTGCTGCATAGGGGGTGGCTCACAACACTTCAAAATACATGCGACGTGTGTCTTACACACACGTTCCTTTTGTTCCATCTGCTGTCTGCCTCATGAGTATTATCCTCCGCCTCCCCCTGAATTCCTCATGAGCCAGCTTCCTTTCTGTTCGCCTCCTTCCTCCTCCATCTTGCTTCTTCTTTCGTCCCTCCTCCACTCCTCTCTCTCTCTCTCTCCCTCTGTCTGCCACTGGTCGGAGGGCCCGGGTTTCGTTTCCTTTCCCCATCCTTCTTTCCTCTCCCACTTCCACACCCGTCTCCTGCTCCTCCTCGTCCTCCCTCCCTCTTCGCTCCTGTCCCCATCCACTCCCCTCCCCTCCCTCCCTCCCCGTCCCTCCCCTCCCCTCCCTCCCTCCCTCCCTCCCTCCCCTTCTCTTCCCTCCCTCCCCTTCTCTTCCCTTCCCCTCCCTCCCTCCACTCTCCTCCCTCCCTCCCCTTCTCTTCCCTCCCTCCATCGCCCTCCCCCCCTCCCTCCCGCCGCCCCCATCTTCTCGCTGCCCTGTCATCGCAACCCCGCGTCTCGGGGCGGCCTTCGCGGTGGGCTCGCGAGCCTGCGCGCCCAAGTTAGCCCAGGCTGTGCCCCTATACGTTGGCATCGCTCGGGCGTGTGCGTTTTTTCTCGGCGACGGCCCTCGAGGAGCATCTTGGACCATGCTGCGACAAAAAATAAGCGCACGAAACCGAAACATGCACGGGGGATGGACGTCCGAGTGATGGCAAGTTCTATGGCGCGGTGAGGAAAAATTGCAGGCACCTGTGATGAGGGTGCCCTCCGAACGACAGGGCGTTCTCGGAGGTCCGCGCGGATGTTTTGGATCTGCGCTTGCTTGTTCCTCCTCTGCCTCTTCCTCCTCCTCCTTCCGTCGCCGTTTTGGCCCACGATGATTTCGCCCCGTGGCAGGAAACGGAGACCCTTGGTCCAGGGGGAGCTAAGGACCCAATTTCCAATCCACGTTTCGTGTTCGGCGCTGCATCCGCCTGCAGTAGCCTCCACGCGCGATCTCTCGAGGCTGGCGCGGGCCTCAGTGTGTACTCATGGAAACTCACGCACCTCCGTCCGCAGCAGGACCAGTGGTTCTCCTTCCCCACGGACAAGACCAAGATTGGGGCAAACGCCAGCAAGACCCATGGCATGACGGAGCTACGAAGCTCGGTGTGCATGACCTACCCGCTCACGTTTGAACGCAATTCGAGGAGACCATGGCCGCCCAAATCAAAGATGCTTCTGGCAAGTTCGAAGCCACAGCCAGAGCCCTCACCACCCAGGCCAACAAGGAATTCTTCGCCAACATCACCTTGGCCACCGCAGAGCTCAGCAGACGCCACGCAATCACATAACGTTCCATCACCGCCGTCCACGAGCGCACCAACATCCTCGAGCAGCAGGACATCGATCTCAAAGCCGCCGTTGCCAAGCTGAAAGCTATCGTCTCCTCAGCCGAAGCCAGAGCACCCGCGCTCAACGTGGACGGCCTGGGCACCTGGGACCGCAATCCTGACCCCACCACGCCCTGGTGCAGCAGTCCGCAAGAATTCTGCCAACCTGAGCTCGAAAGCGCCCTCGAGGAGTGGTTTGAGAAAGCAGAGGTCAATAAGAGCACGGTCATCTTCAGCACTGTCGGCTCCGCTAAGCGCCACTCGTTCCAGGTCAGCGGAGGCATCGTGGTCGCGGAGCCTCGCGCACAGCGTCTCCATAGTGCTCTACGCAATGGGAAAGAGCGGAGAATATTTCCTCTCAGCCTGGCTGATGGTGCGCATGTTCCCCTATATGTATCTGCCGACAAAAGCCCGAGGGCCGCGCGCGCAGAAGTCCAGGTCAAGCGCCTCGCCAAGATCAGGCATAATGCGAAGCCAGAAGTCGATCTACGACCCCGCCGAACACTGGGCTACGCGGCGAATCGTGGTGACGCTTTTGGTGCGTCTTATTCTCGGTGGCAATGCTGACACTCCCACTAAGCTCCAGTGGTCTCATGCAGCAGTCGACCGAGGCTTCGACGACTTCCTCCAGCTGAGAATCTTGGCTTAGTTCGAGTCCAACTTCGCAGACGCTCTCTCGGCCGCGCAGGGGATTTAGCCTTCGCTGGAGCCCGTGGCTTCTCTCACCCTCGCAGGAAGGGCTCTACGTGGTCAATCTGATCAACGGCGTGCAGACAAACGTCGCTTACTCATGTCGTACTTCCGTCAACGTGCACTCATTGCGGCACAAGAAACACATGGCTCCATCGACGATCTCACCATCCTTTCCAACCCCAAGCAGCACAAGTACAAGCTGTACCTCTCCCCGATGATCAGCGACGGCACCCGCGTCACCAACGCTGGCGGTGTCGGCACCCCGGTCCCGTTCGACAGGCAAGAACCCCATCCTCCGCCAGAACTCCGCCCTCGCGCCAGGTTTGAGGTCGTGATCCCTGACCGCGCCGCCTGACTGCGAGTCGCGGGCGCCGGCCTCCAGTTCGAAGTCACCGTCCTGGACGCCCGCAACTTTGGCTTCGCTCCTGCTGACCGACTGCGTCTTCGCGACCAGTGGCAAGCTTTATGGCTGCATGCCAACGAGCAACCTCAACACCGTTTTCTCGTCATAGTGAGTGACTTCGACGTCTCTGAGCCCCCGCCAAAGTCGATCAGCACCCCCGTTGGCGCGGGCGCCGCAGCTGCGCAGCGCTACCAGTACCTGCCAATCTTCCGACGCTCCATAGTTCGTAGTTCGTGGCGCGATTGGGATTGCGATTCCATCTACGACGCGTAGATCGCAGGCCAACATTAGCGAATCGATTATCGACCGATGCTTCATCAATCTCTCGAGCCACCTCATGCCCCTCATGGAGACCGCCCACGTCGCCGACGACCCGCCCCCCCCCCCCCCCCGAGACTTCCAAGGGCCCCATCATCGACCGCGAGATCATGCACCTACGCATCCGCCTCTGCAAGCCCAAACCCGACACCGAGCGACGCATTCCCGCGCGCATCTTCGACACCGTGCACTACCAGCACCGCATCAAGAATACCCTCGCAAACATCGACATGTCTGCGCCCGCGCCCATCGCGAAATGGCGCCCCCTCAAGGCAGCCATGCAGATTGCCGCTGCACGCGCGCGTGACACCCTGTCCAGGATTCCCGCGGCTGAGCCACAGTTGCAGCCTGCTTCTGTTTCGCGCGGGGTCCGCGCCATGTCCCTGCGCAGCATCGCTAGAGCCGTCTGGCACCAGCATGTCAAGCTTGCGAAGACCCTCACCGAGAACGCCGACATCGGCAAGCTCCACCTGGAGATCGCCGAGGGCACCGCCAGCATCAACGACGCGCACGACTGCGCGGAGGCCACGGACACCGCGCACGCCAGCCTCAGTGACGAGAGGAAGGCTCTTCTTGCTTCAGCTCGTTCGAGAGCAGCCTGCGCCGCCAACAACATTCCTCGTGGCCGGAAATGGCCCCAGCGTGCCAAACGTGAAGGCCTTCGCGGGGAACTGGCGACCTGTCTCCAAGCGCCTTGCGCTGTCGGGCATCGAGATTGCCGCTGGCAGCTCGACTAACACAGCGACAGGCCCTGCACCCATGCACCAGGCTATCACGCGGCACTGGGCCCCCTTTTTTGTAGAGAAGCACGTGGACCACATGCGCCTCTCCAAGCACCTCAACTTCATCTTCCCCCGGCGCCAGTTTGCCGATCGCCCCTTTCCTGATGCGCGAGCGCTGGAAAAAGCCGCTAGGCTTGCTGGGGGCTCCGCTCCAGGCCCTGACGCTCTCCCATACAAGTCGTGGCCCTGCGCGCCCAACAGCTTCGACATCCTCGCCGACGTCTGATTTGACACCGCCGCCAACAGCAATGCCCCGCACGACCTCAACTACTCCCCCATGGCCATGCTGCCGAAAGGCGACGAGCCGCTTGGCAGCGCTGAGTGCACGCGTACTCCCGAGTGCATCCGTCCGCTACCCATGAAGAGCTCGGATGCGAAGTTGCTGGCCCCCGCCGCGGATCGCCAGCTCCACGTCCTCGCCGCCCAGACGTCGCCCGATCAGCATCGCGTCGTCAATGGCCGCCCGTTGTTGAACAACGTTGTCATGGTGGACGCCGCCGCCAGACAATTTGGTCTATCACTCTCAGCTTCGACGCACATGCCCGTCTGCGTCAGCATGAACATCGCGGCCGCTTTCCCGAGTCTCGGCCACCAGCGGATGTGTGACACGCTCTCGCGCTGGGGCATCCACGGCAGCATGATGCGTCTCATCCAGGCCTGCTACTACTGGCCCGTCTCGTCCTTGGATATGGGAGGTGAGCGGCGCCCGCTGCTCCTCGCAGCCTCAGGCGTTGCTCAGGGCTGCCCATTGAGCGGCGCCATCTAGGCCCTCGTCTCTGACCCCGTCACCACCGCCGTCAGCTCCGAGCTCAAGGCCATCGAGCGCGGCCTTGTCATCGCATGCGCCGGCGATCTAGGCGCCATCCTCGCCAGACTCCGCGATATCAACTCGGTCGCACCGCGCATGATCGCGGCCCAGACGCTCGCTGGATAACACCTTTAAGCCACGAGGTGCACAGTCGCCCCCAACTGGGCAGTGCAATGTCGCCCCCCGAAGTGCACTTCATCGACGAGATGCGTCTCGTACTAGCCGCGGCTCACTCCCCCTGGCCCCACTCCAAGATCTAGTCCAAGGCTCGCTACCTCGGTTTCTTCGTCGGCCCTGGAGCCACGCTTGCTAACCAATGGCGTGGTCCCGCAGTCAAGTGGCGGGACCGCGTCGAGAAGCTCGCTGCGTCGCATGCCCCGATCCAGCAATGCGCCAAGCTCTGCAACGTCGCCGCGGTCACCTGCCTCGGGCACGTCGG